TACACAGACACACCCCTACCTACACAGACACTCACCCACCTACACAGAGACACCCCCACACACACACACACACACACACCATGCAAAACCGCACACACAGTCACAGACGGACCACACAGCTATACACACACACACACCAGGGCACACACGGTTTTGCTCTCTCTCTCCTGTTCCCTCTCACTCCCTCTCGCTCTCTCTCTCTCTCTCTCTCTCTCTCTCTCAGTTGCTCACTCACTCGCTATCGCTTCATCTCTCTCTCCCACCCCCCTCCAGCTGAGGTCCAATCAGTCGGATACTGTGTGCGAGAGTCAGGAGTACCGCTCCTTTCCCCATCACCGATCTCCCCACTCTGACTCGAATCTGCTCTCCCGGGATGAGTGGGATCCCCTCAGCACCAAGGCTCAGCTGCGACAGGAGTGCGCTGGCTATGGAACGACGGGGCAGAGTCTGACGGAAGGAAAAATAAGAGACTCCCTTCATCAAGCCTTGGCTAAGGTGAACGGTGGAGCCGGCTGCTTTTAATCAACCCCGGACGAAGGTATTGAACTTTTTCTTCTCTCTCTCCCGCGGCGTTCGTGTGCATGTGCTAGAAAGGAAGTTAAAAGTTTTTCTTTTAGCCTTCCTGGTGTTTTTCACCACATGTGCTTATTTTTGAATCCATATGAAAGGGTTAGTGATGGAGTCAGGAAGCTAAGAGAGCAGGAAAGGAAAAGCCCAGGCAGGGTAGCCGACTTCAGGTGCGCATTCAGCCGTCGTTAGAGAAGTGTGATGAAAAGTTTGTTACTTCTGAAAAAGCATGCCCCCCTCCCCCTCCCACCCCCAGTACACAAGGGCCAGGTGAAGCCCTCTGTGTTGTCCGTCATCGCGGCGACCACGGACTGCGAAAAGCCCGCCTACCCTCCTCCCCATGTCTGGCAGTGGTGCCGGATTGGCAGTTGCTATCGTTAGCTCAGAGACAGGAGCATCGAGCACAGATTAGCGTGGGATGAGGTATTTACAGAGCATAATGAGGAAGTCCAGGTGGTCTTCGTGAGACTCTTGGGGCGTGAGCGGTGAGGGAGTCAATTTCTGTTGGACAAAATGTTTCTTGACCGCACACAGCACAAATGACAGCCACAGTTAAGCTTCCTGACTGTGATGGTTTGTTTTTTTAGTTTGATTCAAAGGTGCATGTGAGCTTGACACACGGGTGACGGAGGTTCTTGGAAGCAATTGGCCAGAGAACATCTGGAATAATGCTAATCGTTGCGCTGGGGCCTGTTTTCCGGCTTAATTGGTTGTAAGCTGTCATGTCTTTCCTGGGAAGTGGTCACGCATGGACCACCACCAGCCCTACCTGAGGCGGTTGTCAATGGCGATTCTGGTGACTCCTACTATTTTTTGCATAGCAAGTCGGAGATGTCACCCGGTGGCAGCAGGCGGGATTGGAAACTGCGTACTAAGTGGATTCCTGGTACCCCATACATCAGCACATCTCGGAAGTGAGGACGGCAGCCACCAATGTCGCTACGTCTACCTGATAAAGTCTCGCGCTCCTGTGACACACTCTACCAGAGTATTAGTACATACTAATATGGAATATACCAGAAGGTGAACAAGAGATCTCAATACAGGTGCAAAAGGGACCTATGAATGCACCAGCATTATAAAAAACTATCAGGCAATGATTGCATGGTGCACTGCGGCTTTGGATTTTGCTGGTTAAAAGGTTTGAGTCAGCACACAAGTTAGTCATCAATGCACGTTCGTAAAAAAAAAGGCATTCCTTGCTTTCTTCCGAGAAAAAGAAAAAAAACTCTTTGGTGTCTTTGTTACATTACAAAATGCCTTTCAGAGAAAAAGGGGTCTTTTAGATCAAGCTGGTAGGTGTAGTTGATAGCACACAGGAATACTGGGTGTGAAAGATAAATTGGAAGGTGCTTTGCCGGGAGTATCTAATGTGAGGCCCAGGTGCATTCTGGGAGTTCTTTGTGCTGTTAAAAATTCTCCTGCTTGACAAGATTTCGTTAATGACCTATGGCAGTCTAAAAATTACCCTTCCAAATCAGTTATTACAGATATTTTAGATCTAGTGTTAGGTCTGACTTGTCTGAGGATCAATAATGGGATATAAATAGACCCTGTCAGTCTGATCAGCAGGTAGATGAAGAAAGCTTTCCTCGAAGTGTTGACTGATTAATGTGCCTTACATATTTTAAGCTGGTATATATGCTTTGTAAATGTCTATGGTCTTTAAAGGACCCAGGGGGTCAATTCCACCCCATGAGATGAATGTGCACCATTCACAGGCCTCCCCCAGGGTCTGTCAGTAACGAATGAATGTCCAGAGATGGGGGGGTGGAGGGGGACGGTTGTGAATGTTCTGTTCTTGCAGAATTGTCAGGCGTTGCCAGATATAGCCAATGAGGAGCCTAATTTTAGGCACGGGCACTGATCACTCTTAGGCTAGGCGTACGTGGTGGATCTGGGCACTATAGCCAGATAAATGAGAGCGCGGTACCTCACCGGCGTCGGGGTACCATACCGCTCAGCACACCTGGGTAGGTGACATAATGGATGGGGCTCCGGAGATATCATGCATAGCAAAGACAGGACAAAATGACCTGAGTATAAACAGACCTGGTGGAAATTAAGAAGGGTGAGGTCATGTGGAGGCTGCCTGGAAGAGCACTGAAGGAATACCTTCGAGCAAATAGCTGGCCTGCGTCTCCCCAGCACAATAACAAGCAGCGTATGGCTCGAAAAAAGCTGCATGTCACTTTGGGTGACATGACAGCTAAGCAACTAAAAGGAAACAAATTGCCTACTTGTCTTTTGTCATTGCTGGCGAGGCGATTCCCAGTAATTGTATAATTGAGTTATATACTTCCATTTGTTTATATCCATTTTACTGATTCATCTCAGAAACTTGAAGGAATTAAATGAGAAGGGCGGCCAGCCAGGAATTGTTATAGGTTTTTGGTGGGACGGTACATTCTGTGGGCTACAATCCAAGGTTTTGTTCCAGTCCATGGATAGAGAGTGCGGACAATCAATGGGTCCATCGCTTAACGCCGCAACAGCTGATCTGTGACTGAAAGGACAATGAGCGGTAATACATTTGTGTTGCACCATTGACTAATGTTTGGCCTGAATTTTTATTGGTAAAGTGTAATTACTGCACACAAAGACCTTTGGAATTCAAATGGAAATCCACACTGAAAACAAAACAGCACATTAATAAATGTCAAGTTATTGAAATTCAAAGAGATTTTGCATTTGCCCCTCCGCCTTGAATTCTGATGTTCATGCACCGAATGAAGATAAACCAGAGCAGAGTCTGTCATGAGAACATCATAAAATTCCCAGCTCCAATGGAAAGACGGACTTTCTAATTGGGACAAAGTACAAAGTTTGTAGGATGGGGTACAATTTGGACCCCGAGTGTGGTTTATGGAAATGTGCATGAATCTATGGCTAAAGACTTTGCTCTGAACTATTAATGATTAGTCAGAATGTCTAATCAATTGTGTCTAATCGCTGAGGCGTTAAAACAGTTGCCATTGACGCAATTGACAGCAGGCCGAAAAGTCATGAGGCAATTAACCACACGATGCGCAGCCTTTCCAATAGGTCAGCATTGCTCATGAGAGATAGCCAGTGGCCCTTGTTTGTCTGGTTGCCTATGCCACCCCCCACCCTATGTGACTAGATGTTTGCAGTCGATGGTGTTTCTGGTGACGGCAGTCAGAGGGGGGGTCTCATTCAGTGAGCTGAATGGAAACGTACGGCCTGTCACCGCAGTGGCGGAGCCGGCGACAGCCTGTCCTCCGGGAGCCGCGACAGCGGCCCCTAGGGTGCTCTGGTTCTATCCGGAGAGCATGCTCCATTTGAGCTCCGCACGCCATGCTGATGCCAGGACTTTCGCTGTGAGCGACAAAAGGGCAAATGTCCAGAGGGCTCAGAGGCGGGAACCAAGAGTAGAACGGGGCACTTGGCAAAGAGTAGAGTGTTTAACAGGTGCAGACAGAACCTGGGAGAAAGGGCCACACAGCGGGAACTGATGTACTAGGAGGGCCAGAAAGAGTCTCAATCAGTAGGATTAGAAACAACCCTTAGAATTTAAGAATAGGACAGGAGCTTCATAGTACTCTGTTCCTTAGCTGCTTAAATACAGCCTGAAAGCCTGCCAAAGCTGGAACATCTACTGTGCAGAGCAGCGGAGTCAGGAGGCGCTGCCCTCTAGTGGACAAATGGACAATGCGCGATAAAGGAGACTGGCCGTTTCAGCCCTGGGTCCCCTTTGCGGCAGAATCTTCCTGAGCACAGTCCTAACCGCACAAGCCCAATCGTTTACCACTGTTTCTGCAGACACGTCTGCACTTCACTCTGTCGATGAAAGAGAAACATGTTTACAGTCTACAGTGAAGAACCTCCACTCAGCTCCAGCGTTTATGTGCATAAACACAAACGTTTTGTCCTGTTGTTGATTCGCAGCATAACTGTGGCAGTGGAGCGCATTTGCTTACGGGTTTTAAGCAAATACGTCCCCAAAAGGGCCGTGGCACGTTCCACGCATGTCTACCACAATTACACTAACCAATAATAATCAAGAAGCATTGTTTTTTAAAAAAAAAAAAAAAAAAAGAAATCCCCAAGACTTTCTCCAATCACATGAGAAATATTAAAAAGATCATCTTATAATACAGGAGGCCAGTTCATCGAAAGTTATTGAAAGGTTTCAGCCATAATATCAGCCTTATGAAATCCAGCTCATATTCCCTCTCCCTGTCAGTCTCTGCTCGCTTAATGATTTCCTCTTATTACACAGCTTGCCTTAGTAGGGCTTCTTCCATACCATGCAGATTTTTACCACAATGTTGAAATGTGGAAGAAAAACATCAGTTTCATTTTTCATTAGAGACACACAGTACTACCTGTCAACACAAGATACTATTACTGCCTTTATTTAAAATTTTTACACAGTACTTAGTAGACTTGCTGTTTCAAAGTGATGCCTAACCGAGTTCATATTTAAAGATGAAGGTGAGAATTTTGTATCTCAAGTCAGAGAAAACTATGCAAACTGTGGAAAATGAGCACAGCGTTTAATTTGATTATGCCACAAAGCAGCATTACTGAGAGCGGCTAATGGGACGAAGGTGGACTTGGTAACAAAGCATGACTGGAGCAGCCCGTACGCAGCGTCACACGCCGTCACACGGCATCACACGCCGTCACACGGCATCACACGCCGGCACACGTGCCGACCTTACAGAGAGCTGGTGCTCCGCCAAACGGATCGGTCTGGAGATCCCGCTGTGATTCTCAAATCTTTCTTTGGCACGCCTTTTCATTCGCTTTTTATTAACAGGGAGGCTAATTGCCGGACTAATATTAGAGTCATTTTCTCCCATTGTTTTGTGATAGCTGGTTTCCAGGGTAACAGCTAACTTCCCTCCAGCCTTGCACAACATAAGGACTTCAGTTTTTTTTTTTTTTTTGCAAAGACGTTCGTTTTAGTTGATCTACTATGGAACAGAAAGTTATTATTTGTAT